CTGGAGAGCTGGGAATCCAGGAAATTGTACCGGCAGCACTGCCGGCAGATCTACACCATGCCTAAATCACCCATGATATCACGACTGGTTTGCGGAGATAGCCAGAATCTATCACAGGACACTGATGGGGACATCTGATTTTAGTTACACATTGGGGAGCCCAGTGCTAGCATTCCGACATTATGACCCAAGCAGCCAGGATGATACCCTAGAGGACGGCATTTACGGATCATCTCAGGTGTCACAACTCTCATTGAGTTACGGTGATTCACAAGGAATGAAAGAGGTGCCCATAGGACTGTTGAGCAGTTCCGATTATGCAGCATTGGATGTGTGAGGGAAGAGTGGAGACATCCAAAGGGGGGGCGGGTACTTCAGAAGAATTGACGAGGGGGAGAGGGTATTTTAGGAGAATTAACAAGCGGGAGAAATACATGTAATATGGGAATAAATTGCAGAGAGATGACGTGACTCTGAACTCAATAGACGTCATGTAGCTACTTGTACGAAACTTGAAGTTCACGAGGCAATCATGTACTCTAAAAGAGCCAAAGGTGAAGAAAGCAGAACCAGGCCCAACAGTAGAAATTGTGAGAAAAGTGTATAAATCCAGGCATGTGCATGCAGAACACAACACCAGACTGAAATAGGGGCTAGGCATAGTCCAGATCACAGACGAAATATTCACGGGGTGCCAGGATTTTGGAATCTGATACCATGATATCTGAATCAACCAGGAATGCTATGTAGAGGTCCAGATAGGAGGACGAACATACCAGACCCGCTCAGAGTTGTCAAGTAGATGGGACATTGCCAGTGAGTCCAGAAGGTGAGGTACGCGGTTAACTGAGTCAGGAGAGGGGAGGATTGTAATGGGGACTTCCTCAGGGAGATGGTTCTTAAGGATGCGACTGCACCAAACTTCGAATCTCTTGAACACAGCTCATGCAAAGCGTAAAGAATAAAAGTAAACGGTAAAACCTGTTATCGTTAAGCTCTGGCTTATCTCAATTAAAGTCTCTCAAGAGGATATTGATTGTGTTAGGGTAGGAGAGTTCTCGTATAATCTTTAAGTAGTTAGACTTATACCAAAAACTCCCCCATCAGGTTACCCCGACCAACACAAGCATACCCTTCTCCATAAGGGTTGCTGGCACCATTACTGTGTCCCTGAAGGGCCTAAGGCGTCAGCCTACTCTAGCAGAAATCTCCTATATGCACATCAGTTTCTGCGAGGTGTTTACCAGTACACCTGCCGGAGAGAAAACCTCTGCACATCAGAGTCTCATCAGTGGCTAACTGTCGAGACACCCAGGAAAGCTAACTAAATAATCCTCTTCCCATGTGCTATGACCTATGCAAGCACCCGTAGATATCAGCTGTCTTCTGGTTAAGTTCTATCTGTCTTGATTGCGAACTTAGAAGGTCTATGACGCTCCTGTGGAGAGCTGTGGCAGCGGCGGGACCTGTGGGTGCTACCCATGGTCCCTTACCCCCAACACACCACTCACCATGATAAGTATCATGCTATTAGAGTCTTCAAACAACCCATAAAGAGCCTACGGCAAAGGGGCATGTGTAGGCTTGATTGGCGTAAAACCTTCCCAGATGTCTCTGGCACTACCTGGGACTACTCTGGGGACCCTTTTGGATAGCTTACGCTAACTCTGTCAGTTTGGGTCCGTTTTACTCCGTTCTTTTTGGAGAAGGTACCTGACCTTCTCACCTTAGCCCCCTTATATATCCTGCGAACAGCTTCCGGTTGGATGGATGGCAGCGATGTATACAGTGTTATGGACAAGTCTTCATAGACTCCATTTAACTAGTATGACGGCAACTTCAACCATTTCGGCCCATGACGCCCAGAGCGAATCCTGGGGCTGCAGGTACCTCTTAGGAATAATTCTACCAAGTTACAGCATGTTTGGAGCACTCTAGCTCCTCCCGTAGTCATCCAATCTGTATGTAAGCAAGTGCCTGTCGATCGTTATTGCATAACAAACAATCCAAATGTTTCACAGAATCTTTCCGAGAACATTTCCCACGGAAGGTAGGGTAATAGTGTCCCAAAGGTAGGGTAAGTATGTCCATGGTGACATGAAACTGGTCTCCATAGTAGGGTAACGTGACTCTCCTAGACAGGGTAAACTCACCAGGCCTTCCAACCAAATCTTAGGCCGGAGCGGACCTAGTCACTTTACTTCCGCTACTTAGATATACCTATTCCTTAAGTACCTTCTGTTCCTTAGGATATCCTGACCATTGGATATCCCTCGGACATGCACTCGCATGCCCGCCTAGTCTACCATATGACCTCTTGGTCTTATGTATGGGCATAGACTTAGGTTGCCATAGCTCTATAACATAGGATCGTCACAAGGATTCAGTATTGGGATCAAGATGGAGAACGGGAGGAGTTAGGTAGTTACAGCGCGAGGTGCTCAAGTGCCGAGAGATTGGGATGATGAGGGGGTACGGCGTAGATAGTCCAGACGTAGCGGGCATCGGGAGCGACGTCCAGATGGGAGCAGGGTACAGCAACAAGAAAGCGTAGAGTTGGGGTGCCAGGGCGTCGCGGCGTCACGTCCTGAGTAACGGTTTGCATCCTGTGTGTCCTGTGCGTCAGATGCACAGGACGCACAGGACGCAAGCATCTTTTTTTGCTGATGTAGCATAGTATACCTTGAAGGTATTCTGCAGGTACTGATTGAGGTAGAATATTGCCAGCCGGTAATTCCTTTACATGATTTCCCAGCTTAAAGGATTGGCATTCAGTCTGTCATGGTATACCATTGACCTCCCAGCAACTGTCTGTTTGATGAAGTTAACAATTGTACTTCTAAATTGATACTTTAGTTAATATCTAGCAAGAAGGATATCTAAATAATTGCTTTTACATATCTTTTATGATAATTGTGTTCTTGATAAGAGGAATGCGTGAGTGTGTATTTGGTAAGGCTGTGAAGCTGGGCTGAGCATTTTCAAGTTGAGATTACGTCATATTCCTGATACCTCTGCACTCACAAGGTGTCTGACTAACTAGTGCTTTTCATAAGGTACCCTTCGAGCTTGATGCGCAAAGGCTCTAATATACTGGTGTGGCCAGACCGAAATCGCCTTTTTCTTGGTGGGCCACCAGAGAAAGCGGGATGGACTTCAATCTGGCTAGCTATTTCACACCGTTGTTAGAATCGTATACCAGGACTAGCGCCCCCCCCACTAATTGCCGCCCCCGAATACAGAATGAAAATACAAGTCCTCAAGTAGATATAGAGATTATACACGCGATGGTGCATTTTTTTCCATCCGGTTTGCTATACCTTTGCTTTCATTATGACATCAGAGTACTTGGTACGGGGGTTACGAAGCTTTGGAGTATAGTGCCGCTAGGTCGGATATAGTATTCACCTCATAGAGCATTTAAATACTATCATACCTCCCCTCCCCCCCCCCCCCCCATATGGATGGGAGAAATCCGGCCTCTCCAGAATGGTTAATTCATCGAGACCAGAAAGAATTGTGGACTAATCCGAAGGGAAACTTGAAAAAACAAGAGAGAGAGAAAAAGATAACCAGCTCATGTCTCACCACTCCAACACTCCCCCAATCATACCTCCTCCGAGTTTGAAGGAAACACCCAAAACAAATTCTTAGACCTTGAAATATTCCGGCTTATAAATACTCCCCCCTCACCGTCCCACCGGCACCACCACCCCGAACCCACGTAGAGAAAAAACCCAAAAAGAAACCCCAACCCGCCATTACAAATGTCTTCCCCAATCACCCTCAGCAGGAAACTTCTAAGAACCCTAACCCTAGCCATAGAGGTCGAACTCGCTCTCACAATATGCTACAGGATGCCCTACGCGCTAGAGCTGGAGGCCGAAGTCAGGCTGTTGGTGGATGATCTCCTCCAGCTGGCGGATCGTGTGGAGCGTCCTGATGCCGAATTGGCGGTGGAGGCGGCGGGTGCTGCTGTGGACGGGTGCCTCGATATTCTGCTTGACCTGCAGGACGCAGTTGAGGAGTATTTAGACGACGAGAATGAGAGTTGTTTACGGAGGAGAAGTTGTTTACGGAGGAGGAGTTGTTAAGAGTTCAACGAAGAATCGGTTTTTGTCATACCGGTGACTAGGGTCATGTGTTATCACTCCGATATGGTCGCTTTTGATATGTACTCGTAAATTATAATATGATAACTTATCTCATTTGGCGAGAGGAGTAGACTTGAGACTTCATGATTGTGTTTGTTGGAAACTGCTATTGTGACCTTTCTTCCATCGCTGATATGAGCACCGGACTTAGGGAGCAGCCATCAATGGTTTGTTACTAGTGCATTGCTTCTATTGCTCATATGCTGGGGCAGCGGCGCAATCAACATGATAGCCCCCTTTTGTGGACAGAGCGACTCTCAGATGCCCAGGCGACCGGGCATTCTTGTAGAATGCGCCCCTCTTGGATATCGGTCTCCCAGATGCCAATTCTTACGGGAGGGAGAGTAGTAAACGTATTAGAACTCCCGGCATCTGATTTCTGCAGTTACAGCAAGACCTGGTTTCCGGTATCCCAGTGCCTCCTCTTTGGCGTGACGGTGCTCACACATGAAAGCAGACCGAGAGCGTGTGTTGGACTAAAATTCTCGAACTATGATACAAACTTGAACTACGAGCCTCGGAAACTAGCCCGCAGCGGCCACACACTGTATACCCGATTCTTTTCCATCTAGGGAAGTATTTTCACATATTCCCTTTTGAACGACCAAGGCCAGCACCCCCCCCCCCCCCTCCCGGTTCACACCTCAGGGCCAAGTTTTGCGTTGGCAGAGCGATGCTATTACAGGATAGTACTGTGTTCACCTGCATCGTGGGAATTATCGGGGAAGAAATGGCCATTGTCCGTTACCTATCTGCTATTTTGGGGAACATTGGTACGTTTTATGGCAAGGGACTGTGTGAACTTGGGACCCTGGTGTCCCCAGCTGTTGGTTTTTTTTTTCGTTTATGCTTGGACCCCCGAGAGTCGGAGTTGGTTATATATTGGAAATAATGAGGGTCTGGGTGGGTATACCTGAAGGGCCTTTGCAACTGTTGTGAATAGTTGACGCTCTTACAAGTCCATAGTGACTAACCAGCTGATGCGACATGAGCATAAGCTTGGTTCTGAGCATAGTGGTTGTTAGGCTGATGTATCATAGTCTCCCACAAAGGATGAAGTATATGGTTAGGGTATATGTTTGGTGGTTGAATGGAATATGGATTATGGAACTAGGGATTTGAAGGGATACCTATATAAGCATGTCTTTTCCCAGCTAGAACCAATACAGACCAATACATCTCCACTCTCATCTCCTCCCTCCACCAAGAGATCTCGTCTTGGTTGCCCGCCAAGGTCATCCTTCCACCGCCATCACATCTCCTGTTGCTCAACAACAGCGACCCTGTTCATAAGTACTACTACTATCATACGCGCAATATAAGTCGTAATTTGAAAGTACTTTGTTTACAAGCAACGTATCCACATCCCCCGTTTGATAATCTTTTCACCATAAGTTTTCCGCGCTATATCCAAAGGTATAAACACAAATGCCCCTTCACCTCAGTCTCGACTTAACTGAACCTTAAACCGAAGAGGAACTCGATCACACCACATATCCACAGCACCTCTTTCACAACACTAAAGTAGAGCGCGCAATACTCACTCGGACAACAGGATGCAACACTCACCCACCACCGCCACAGCCGCTACCCTCCGCCAGTCAATAGCCGCCGGCAGATCACTCGCCCAATCCATCCTGGGCACCCTCTCAACGCTCCCGCAGGACCCGGAGGCCCTGGAAAAGATCGAAGCCGTGCAGAGTATGCTCAGGGTACTGGACAGATTGTCCGGGAAGTTACTAAAGATGCGGCCGGAATTGGAGAGGATTGGGGAGGCCCTAGAGAGGTGTGTTGAGATATTGAGAAGGGTTGGGGAGGAGGTTGGGGAGATGGGGGGCGGTAGTGCTTAATACTGTCTGTATTTTAGGAGGTGGTTAAGGTTTAAGGGATGGGTAGATGTTGTAAGGTATCATAGTTATAGCCCCCCGAAAGCATTTGATAAGTTGTAGCTGTGGAGGTAGTTATGCAGGTGATGTCTGCGCAATTAATAGAGACATTAGGGAACATATCCAAGAGGATTGATAAGATGTAGCGGGTCACGGGATTAGTCCCCCATCCGTAGACTATTCTCAAGCGATCTAGCACAAAGTACTCGAGTAGAGTTACATAGCTCGTATAAATCCGAGAAGCGATCGTCATCATAAATCCTCAACCCCCAAAATGTTAGCGCACAGATCACCAGACGATGGGGGAGTGCTTACATTATACAATATAGTACAGTAGAGTAGAGTGGGCCCCCCCTCGTTCAGCCATTATCCGTTGCCCCACCCGACCCCGCATTGCCAACCGCCCCCCCGCGCGCTCACACCAATACCTGCACAACAGATCCCGAACTCCAAACCCTTTAGCACAAGGTAATGAAACCCAAAGAAACCGCATCCCTCAAACTCCTCTACCGCACCCGATTCCCTCAAACCCCTCTTCATCGCTAGTACCCCTCCACCTCCTCCTCAAGGAAAAGATCCACAACCCCAACAACCGCATCCAGGGTCCTCCTACACCTCTCCACAACCTCCCTCTCTAGCCCCTCCTTCTCGCTCCCATCACGAAGCCCGCCCAGAACCCCATCCAACACCCCCCCAATCTCGTCCACACCCCGGATAATCTCATCCACATGCGGTAACTGCGGACAAATCAGTAACGCGGCACGCACGTCCTCCGCCAGGAAACGTGCGCTAGCGGCGGCCCTGTATAGCGCTTTCGCCGATGAAGGTTTTTGTTTCGGCATGGTTTTGTTTCGTGATGGTTTGGGGAGAGAGCGGGGGGAGGATGTTAAATGTGATGATCCGACACCCGGTCGGCGGCGAAGACTTGAATATAATGTAAGAAAAAAGGAAGGGTGGCGGTTTTTTTTTTTAGAAGAAAAAAAAAACGTCGCCTCAAATGATGGCAAAGGAGAAACGTGTAATTGTGTGCTCAGCTGATCCGTATTTAATGGTGTGGTGTGGTGTGGTGGGTGTAATAAGCTCTATCTATAGGGGAATGTCCATTGCATTGTACAGTAAGGTTGCAGCGGTAGTTTGTATTGTGAGTCTTGCTGCGGATTAGAATGATGTTTCGATAGAATGGAGCAGGACAGGCAGGGAGGACGAAGAGGAGGGATAAATCTGGCGAGTGATGGTTTATGATACTGTGCTTGCGGGATAGAGTAGGGTAGGGTGTCGTTTGATGGGTGGGACGGACGGGGAACGGGGATGGGGGGAACACGAGGCTTGGCAGGGTATGGGTAGTTTGCCCTCTCGACGGCCCGACGGGGTTCGCGCGTAAATGCCAAAAGTCGATCTGCGTATACATAGTAGATCGAGTTAAGACGATGGAGTGGTTCCAAAGAAATCGAAAAAGAATCCAGCTGGATATCGTGGAATTCGTGGGATGATGCATGTTGTGTTCATGGATCGCACCAGTTCTTGGGGAGATCTCTCTCTACACAACTCCACCACCTCTGCAAAAACACACCCCTAGAGGCACGCGAGGGGTTAACAGCAACCACTCCGGGCCCCCTTATATTATAGCTGCCTACGGCAAGGTACTGCACTTTCCAGTACTCACGATTTCTCACTCGTGTGCTCATCCCCCATGCGGGTGACGTTTTCATTCGCCTCCGAAATTCCGCCCTTGGTACCCCACCACGCAAGGGTCATCACGAATCCGTAGGGCCCCGACTCTCTAGTATACACGACCCCACACTACTCCTCCTCACCGAACGGGTAATTGAACTTCAGCAGCCCGTTCAAACCACCGACCCAGCCATCGTCCTCCCTCCCCCTAAGTCTCCCCTTCAAGCACGGAATACCACCCTTTTCGCCGTCAATCTTCTCAGCCCAGACTCTAACCTCCTCGCCACGTCCGATCCCACCCCATCGGCGGCCGTCAACGCTGACTTCTACATTTCCCGCGCGGTTCTTAGCCGAGAGCTTGAGTGTGAGGACGCAGTCTGCCGGTAGGACCAGCGGGCGGAAGGACAGAGAGCGGGGGCAGATGGGCGTTAGAAGCAAGGAGGATACGGCTGGGTGGATGATGGAACCGCCGGAGGAGAGAGAGTACGCTGTTGAACCGGTTGGTGTGGCGATGATCATGCCGTCAGCCTGAGGAATTAGCATGTCTCCTGGGGACCGGGAGGGGAGGACAAACCACAGCCTCGGTAAGAAACTGCCCATCAACAAACACCTCTACAACCGCCAGGTGCGGAGACTTTCCTCGATGGATGTTGACTTCATTCATCGCGTGGGCGTCTGTCATCATCAGCCACTCTCCCCGCTGCACTGATCGCGCGTTAGGCTCACCGCCAATACTCTCAAACTCCCACTCCCCGGTAACCCTCTTGCCGTGGCAGTCGTAAACGCCAACCTTCAGTCTTTCCCGTCGAAGCACCCTCGCGCCGCCGGCAAAAGCCTCCCCAACGGCCTCAGTGTGCTCCTCCCACTTCCACTCTCCCAGGAATCCGAGGGTGCCCATTGCGAAGCTCAATACCGGCGGGACCATGCGGCAGGCCGAGAACAGGGATGCCGCATGGAGGATTGTGCCGTCACCGCCGAGGGTTATCAGGAGGTCGGTTTTGTCATGGTAGAGTCGTTCCCCACGCGGGCCCAATTCTCCTGCCCCGCTGCCGGTCCCATTCTCACCTTCGGAGGCGCTAGGTTGGGATGGTGGTGGTGGGGCATGCGTTTGTCGTGGGCTCAGTTGCGGAGTGCGTGGGTAGGTAGACTGGGTATAAGGGAAGGGTGTGTTACTCTCCGAAGGCGGGAGCGTGTAGACGGGGAAGTGAAATTCATGATGCACAGAGTGCGCTGTCGATGGTTCCAGAATGATGTTTGTGGATGGGTAGTTCTCTTTCAGATGCCTTTCCATCAGTCAAGATAATTCTCATCGACTCCGAGTAAAGGGGGAGACCCACCTTGCCAACGACACCAGGGCACCCCGAACGATGGGTACGTGCCTCTTCTTCACGATGAGAACATTGCGCGGCGGAGCACCCCACATCAGGGTGGATAATTTCGAATTCGCGGGCTTTGTGAGAGCCGGTCGCGTTCTGTTCCCCAAGCCTGCTATGGAGAGGACGTCACCGCGAATGGCGCTCGCCGATAACCAGCGTCGCCTCAGGGAAAGGGGAAAGGACTCCGCCCCCCCGCGAAGAAGGCCGACGGTAGGGGCAGCTGAACCTCTGGGTAATCGGCAGGATATCATACTGTATGGCCGGCGAATCGGATTGGAGATGAAGAGGGTTCCCAGTTGGACGGGTTTCACCCACCCTCACGACCCTCACGTCTCTCACGGGATAACGGTACGGTCGGCAGAGTGGATTAGTCATTAAGCGAAAGGCCAATGAGGGTAAGGGATGGGGGGAAGAACTCGAAGTGGTCCCATGCCGTGGACTACTCGTATGATGCCCTATGATACCCTATGATACCCTATGATACAAGAATGATAGCGCGCCATCCCCCCACCCCACCTGTGAGAGCATGATATATACCCTAACCTTCTTCCACCCATAACCCGCGTAACCGAGACATGAGGGCAGCGTAATCCGATCGATGCTAAGCTTTTGGCGCCTGGCTTGGCGATGGTTGACCTTGCGACTTGGCCGGGTGAGGGTCCAATCCGGTGCTGAATAACCCGGTCGGCATCAGCACTCATGATACCCAGCAGTACTGAGTGGGTCGCCATGGGCAACAACATCTCCGAGCACGGTACGAGTACAGTGCCAGCACGAGTACAATACATCCCGCCCTTTTAGAGGCTCTTTGGAGGACGCGTACGCAGTTCCTCCTCTCCTGGGCTGTGCGAGGGTGTGTGGGTGTGGGATGCATCATACTATATCGAGGGATGGATGATGCACCACGGATGGCCTCCGTTGGGACTGCTTTGCTCGCTGTGGACGCTGGCATGAGAGGATATTATATGATAAGGGACCTTGTGGGACCGTATAAATCGTTTCCCATCCCATCCCCTCCCCCCGCCCATTTATCCTATCGTCCCCTCCTCACCCTCCTCTGCTCCTCCCATACCACCGCGCTCGAGAGAGATCCAGAGCTCTGCAAAGCTCCCCAAAGCGATGGCTTCAAACGAATATTACGGTAACCAGCCTCAGTATCCTCCTCAGGCCGCTCCCGGATACCCTCCGCCGCAGGGCTATCCTCCTCAGGGTCCTCCGCCTCAGGGAGTATGTTCCCGCACTGAGGCTTGAAACCGTTGAAAGATCCCCACGAGCTGACCATGGCTTGATAGATGGTCTACCAACAGGCTCCCCCTCCCGTGCAAGAAAAGAGTAACGGTGGCGGCCGTGGCTTCTGCGCTGGCATGTGAGTCGGATGCCCTCATCCGTATTATACGAGGATGCGAGGCCGGCGTGATGACTGACAAGCAAGTCTAGTCTTGCCGCACTGTGCTGTTGCTGCGCCTGCGACGCCTGCTGCGATTGTCTGGAATGCCTTTGCTAGAAGGGCTTCGCGGGGATTCATTTCCTCCGGTTGCTTTCTGATATTCCGTATTTGATCACTGATTGCTCTACATGTTCACGGAGATGAGGAGATTGTGACAATATAATTCTGCACCTTTTTTTCTTGTTTTTTTTTCCTTTCGACGGGTGGAATCAATCCTATCGTGCTGGGCGTGCAGATCTCCGCCACCTTCTTCTACCCGGGATTCCCGTGGCGCGGCCTTGTGATGATCTCATGGATGATGGATCATGTCGATAAGTTTGATCAGTCAGCAGCGGCTGGCTGAGCGAGAATGGAAATAAAGGCTTGTTTGGGCCGGTATCACACACCGCGTCGGGAGACGGGGCGTGAATTTCCCCACTTGCACTTTGGTGTTTGGACCACCACAAGGGTGGAGTAAGTTACCGTACGGTATACAGTATGTAAATTTAGGTGGTGCAGCGGATCGGAGAAGGTGTGCCCACTTGCTGTCTTGGTCTGGCCTCTTCCACGCTGCATGATCAATTTATATTAAAGGCATGATGCTCGAGTACCGGTATTGCCTATAACTGTCACGCCCTCTCTATATCACCGCCCTGGAAAAAACTTCACTTTACCCACCTCATCACCCCTACCGTGCAATCCCCTTGAATTACTTGCTAGCTTTATCCACAAAAAGTCACTCGATTACCCCAATCTTATCTCGGAAGAATCCACCCCCCCCCCGCGCCAACTGACTAATCATCTCAAGTCTTGGCACAACGGTTTTCGCATCCGGGAAATGCGGAAAGTTCTGGGAGGAGTGAGGGAAGAAATCGCTTTTTCCTCTCTCCCCAGCGACCGCTGTTGTCGGTCCGCCCGCTTTCTATCTTAATCGCGAGACTCCGCTGAACTCACGGTCTCGCCGGTCGTGGTACGATAGGATAGAATCGACTGCACCATCACCCCTCCACCCCTCTGCACCGCTGACTTGTCCGGCCCGCGCAGATCCTCAGCATCATTATTGCCCCTCGCCCTGCACGCGCAATACTACAGCACCTTGGAGCCTCGCCTACCACATGTGAAGCCCACCATGGCATCTGCATCACCACATCCATCGGCACATCTTCCCCCCTTGCACCCGCCCTCGCAGACACGATATCCTTCGCACTTTGGGGTATGGGGACTGGTGGAGGAGGACGAGGAGAAATTGAAACGTTGGTCCAGCTTCATCGGTATCGTTGTAGCCATCGTCGGGAACCTTCTGATTTCGCTCGCACTGAATATCCAAAAATATGCGCACGTTAGGTTGGAGCGGGCGAAGCAGCGGCGGAGGAAGTTTCTGAGGAGACATCGACGGCGCCTGTTTAATTCTCACCGAAACGAGAACGGGAATGCCTGCGGTGGACTCTCATCGCCCTCCTTCCCTTGCGGGCATGTGGACCGTGAGTTCATGAGGGGTTCTGTGCATTCGTCAAACTCTGGGCATGAGGACGATTCCCCGCCGGATGAAACGTCACTGCTACTCCACCGCAGTTCACACTCCACCGCTTCCAAAGAGGACGGCGAGGAAGAAGTGCACTCCCGGGACCAGCGATACCTCTCTTCGCCATACTGGTGGCTCGGCTTGGTCCTCATGTCGATCGGGGAATGCGGCAACTTTCTCGCCTACGGATTCGCGCCCGCGAGTATCGTATCCCCGCTCGGTGTCGTAGCGCTGATCTCAAACTGCGTCATCGCTCCCGTGATGCTCAAGGAGCCGTTCCGCGGCCGGGATCTCGTGGGCGTCGTGGTCAGTATCTGTGGCGTTGTGATTGTGGTCTGGAGCGCCGAAAAGGAGGAAGTCAAGGTTGCCTCGATCCCAGTATTTCTTTTACTAGCATGTCCGCGTTCTGACTGGTCAATGTGTGGAACATAGCTCGGACCCGATCAGATACTTGAAGCCATCTCGCAGACCGCTTTTGAGGTTTACGTTGGGATCACGTGTGGGCTTATTGGGCTGTTTATGTATCTCTCTTCAAAGTATGGGAGAAGGTACATATTTATCGACCTGGGGCTTGTCGGGCTATTCGGTACCTCCCCCTTCCCCCCCTTCGTGGCGGGGCGGCTAACAGAGGGTAGGCGGCTACACTGTCCTCTCGACCAAGGGGATATCATCTCTCCTATCCTCATACTTCTACCGAATCTTCACCTACGGGATAGCATACCCGTTCGCCATAGTTCTGGTCACGACTGCAATCCTGCAGGTGAAATACGTGAACCGCGCCCTCCAACGCTTCGACTCGACACAAGTAATCCCTACGCAATTCGTTCTCTTCACCATCTCCGTAATCCTGGGATCAGCGATATTATATAGAGACTTTGAAACCGTTGATGCGGAAAGGATGTTAAAGTTTGTCTCCGGGTGTCTGTTGACATTCTACGGCGTGTGGATAATCTCTTCTGGCCGTGGCAAGGCCAAGAACCCGGACGACGAATCCGACTACGAGAGCGATCTTGAACCTGCGGCGGGACTGGAACAGGGAATGGTAACACCCCATAGGAAGATCAGACCCCTGTTCCTCGACGGGCCCGGCATCTCCAGTTCCAGCAGCGAGGGCGAGGGTGAGGATGAGGATGAAGCCTCTTCCACCCGCCATACCCTCCCACCACTTCCCGAAGAACCGCCGGCAACCCGCCCGCAGGTTACACGCGGCCCTTCCAGCTCCTCCCTAGCAGCGACCGAACGCTCCGTAGCGCTCTCAGACGCTATGCATTCCGACCTCGTCGTCCACGCCGACGGACACCACTCCAGCCGGAAAAACAGTCTCACACCCTCTCACCGCCGCTCATTTTCTTCCTTGCTCCCGGGACCCATCGTCGCCGGCTCGCAGTTAAAGGCTGTCGTTGCCGGGAGCGTTAAGAAGCGCCGGGACGAAAGCGCTAGCAGGGGGCGGAGTAGGAGTCTGAGTTTTGTACTGGACCTGTTGAAAGGTCGTAGGGGCCGGAGAGATGCTGGTGGCGGTCCTGGAGGTGGCGGAGCGGAAGGGTAGTGCGGTCATGGGTCTTCTTATTCTGATTAATGGGGAATTGGACGGATAGGTGGAGGAGTAGTAATTCGTGATTGACTTTCATTGCTTGTTTTTCCTTAATTTCCTTCTGCTTTTATCATTTCTAATCTCACATGGAGCCTGTTGCGATATCCCTGTACAGTAGAGTTAAATCATGCGTTGTGTGGCTGGGGAGGTATTTTTCGTTTGTATGTGCTGTGGCGTAGATAGAACTGCGTCTGGTATTATAGGCGGAGGAGAGAGGAGGGGTTGCTGAGATGTGCGTTGGTTAGCAGACACTAACCTAGTGATTACCCCAAGCACGCGTTCTGTTAGTGATAACCCATGAACATGCAGAATGTATCATAGCCAGATACCAACCTGTCGTGCTCCATACGATATAACTTTAACATCCTATCCCGCCTGGCCACAGCACCTCTGGGGCCATTTTTCAAAGCACAAATATGGAGTGCCCCCTATTGTTCAAAGTGTTTACAATGCACTTGCCCTTGATTGGGAATAACCGACGATGAGCAATACGACGTTACGGAAGCAGCATGTCACGACTGGCCCCATAGCTAGCGTAAAATTAATAAGACATGATCTCCCCTTTGCCTCCTCCCGCCTGTTATCCCGAATCCGCGATACCCAGGAGCGATTGGGAATAACCACAGGCCAAGTTAGCCCCTCACAAATCCTAGGATTTGCTACGGCACACTCGCCCTTTCAGAAGCCTACCCACCCCACTGCAATTCAAAATGCCACCCCCAGAGCGGCCGAGATTCCATCGGAAGGAAACTCAGCTTGACAAAGCTGATCACGACCAGCGCCCAATACGATTGATCCTTATGGGATTTGTAGTAATTCGGAGTCACAAAAACCGCGATTGCGGGCGGTAGATCTGTGGTCCCGGTTGAGTGCGGCTTCGGGGGTTCAGTCAGCGGTGCTATAGCTAGAGTGGAATGTAGCGATGAAAAAGAAATATGATATTGGTATGAGATTATGATACTTGAAAATTGCCAATTTCACTGTATTTGGAATTCGCAAACGTCTAAGGATCTCACGGAATTCTTATACTTTCCTGGCAAGAGATGTCTGTCTGGAGAAAGTGGCTTTCCTACCCCCCCCGAGGATAATGATCCTTCCTTCCTTGCCCCCTATCATACCATACCGTCCTCCGGCATTCGCATTGAATGTTGAATCGGCGCACATTTTTTGAATGCATGTGAAGGGCTCATTTATATCCATGATGCAGTATGAGCTGAGTAGCCTACCGGAGATCTCCAGATTATCCAGTCCTCGCTAGAACCTGGCATATATATCATATCATGGTAGAAATCCTGCACCGTATCGAGAGGGACTTTTTTACGAGTGATATTATATGATTTATATGTCGGTCAATTCCTTCCTTCCAATCATACTCTACTTTGGAACTATGGTCTTTCTCCTTCCGAGACTTGGTATCATAATATTATAGTCTATCCTGACATATTTCCTCAATCTGTACTATCCCCTCTCGATCGGGTACTAATACTTGACCCAGCACGGTCACGTAAAGGTGCTTGCTTGCTTGCTTGCTTCCACCTTTCCCTTTTTTTTTTTTTTTTTCTTCCTATCATACAACCTCTCACTTGATCCTCTACACCAAAAGTAATTCCCCGGGAATACATACATAGAATATTTTTGGCTCTTTCTATCCGTTGTATGATTCGTGCCATCCAAAACCTGCGCCAAAATTGAAACTTTTCAAATTAAATTTAGATACCGTAGGCTTCACGAATAGTAGCGTTATCGGAAAGAGAAAAAAACCTCAGGATTAAAGAGAGAGTAAAGGAGAATAAGCGTGTAGGGGGGGGGGGGGTTCTTCAATAATGCTACTAGTTGTGAAGCCCATCTAATTTGAAAAGTTTCAACTTTGGTGAAGGCTTTGGAAAGATGATAAGCGCCGTATGTATGGTGTTATAGATGTTCACCCGATATCCAGCGTGGGTGGTAGCGCGTTGTATCATAGTCAACACCACCCTCACAACCGTAGGCCCTGTTTCTCCACCCATCCATCACGTTCAACTCCAACTCCCCAACATCCAAGAGGGGGAGTAATGTACAAAGGAATTAAGTAGCATCGCAACATTTCCACAAAAAAAGAAAGAAAGAAAGAAAGAAAGAAATCCTAGCGCAACTCGATAATTTCTTAAATTATAACATGTCCAGGACCCGACAGATAGAGAAATTCTCACGCACTACAGTGCCCAGAGCTTCCTAGTATTCGTACCATATCCTCTTCTAGGGGAGGTTGAAAAATCACCTTCACGCAGGCAAGAATTTAGAGTATAAGATTATATTATTATCCAACTTTTCTTTTCTTTACACCCCCAGAACCCCCATGCGCTCTCTCTTCTTTTCTTTTTTTTTTTTCCTCCCTCTCCGACCAGCCATTCCAAACCCAAGACACTTACTACCCAAGCGGGGAATGATGGGAAGAGCAGAAACCGGGTAATTTATCCCATCAGGTCTTTCCATTATTTCATCACCGATGCACACCGGGCTGGAATCCTGAACGAGATGTCAACTTCTTTTTCTTCTTCCACGACCCTTACGCAGGCGGGCAGTGCGGCTGATACCTTCGGCGGAATTCGTCGAAAAACATGGGAGGACGGGTTCGAGAGGCTTATATGTTCCTCTCATCCTCTTATCTCCCTCCCTCCCTCCCTCCATCCCTTCCTTCCTTCTACCGCGACCAATACGCATCAAAGAAGCATGCCTAGGAAGCAGGACCGACCGAGACCAGTAAGAAAGGTAGACCATGAGCAAGGAATCCAAGCGAGAGGTATAATATCCATAAACAGCTTGTACTTCTACCTCCCTCCTTGAGACTCGGTGTAGCTTCCCCGTGGGGGCCGTACACAATCGGTGCTTAGGAAAGTATCGGCACATCCGGTGATGCCCAGTGTGTCTGCCTAGGCTTACTTGGTACGAGTGGACTTGAATGGGCCCTTTTGTGGTGGGGGACACTCCGAAATTTCTTTCGCAGCCTTCAGGTCACATAACATACAGTAGATTTAGACAAATCTTGGGTGAAAATAATAAAACTTAAAAACTTTTTAGTCTGATCAATAATTCTCCTAGTTCCCTTCCCGGAATTTACTGTTGCCAGCAGCAATGGTGAAATCATCGTGCCGGTGGAATCCGGCTGGAATGCCAACAGGTTTGATACAAGCCCAAATCAAGGGACAGAAACGCAATTCGATGCTCCCATTATACGAATCACGAACGATGGCAGCCAACCCCCCGCATCCCACCCAACAGCAACACTAACAATACCGCACTAAGGCTGCTGTCAGCCCCCTCCCCCGGGAAAACAACAATGACTAATTTCAACATCACAACCAATCACTCGCCTACCACCCCGACTTCTTTTCCCACGGTGGCTTCATACTGGAACTTGAACTCCTGCACAACCATGAGCCACACTCCCCGAAAACCGACCGAAGGGAAGGAAACGGGTCAAAAGAGCGCAAGGAGTGAAAACGAACCAATAGACTTTCCCTACCCCCACCAATCGCATACCCCTCAAGCACAAGAAACGCCCGTCTGGCTCTCTCCTTTCCCCAGTCACCCGGGCGCTCAGCACACATCCTATCAACTAGTGACCCGAATCTCCCAGCCCAGTACCCCGTGGGCATGCGCTTATTGACATACTTGCAGGTCAGGGCCTCAAGCTCCTCTTCCTCGCTGGGAAGTATCTGCAATAGCGGGAGGAGGCGTTGAGGAGGTTGGACGGGGGGTGCGTCCCACCGGCTGGGCTTGCTGGGCTGTGGTTCGTCGGGCACATACGCTTGGATGAATGGGAGGGAGAAGGAGTGGGGAAGGGAGTTTCTAGGTGGTTGACAGCGTGCGGTAGGGGTAAAAGTTGCCGTAGGTGGCCGTGATGGGGGTACGGTGGGATGAGCCCGGGGGCGGGTGGGGTTTGGTGGGAGTTGGTAGGAGAGGGAGGCACGTGGGGGGCGGATGGTCGAGCCAGTAGTGCGGGTCGACGTGGATAAGGTACGACGGTGGGAACGTGCTGGGGCCGCAGCACTGATAGAGTGGGACATGGATGGGGTGCGGTTCGGGTGATGCATTTCGTTTTATTTGTTTGAAGTTTGGAGGGGGGGAAAGCCGAGGTAAGGTATGGTGAGGTGAGGGTGAGGTGAGGTGAGGAAGGTTGGGGGAGGTAGTGGGGGAGGCAGAAGGGAGGTGAATGCGAGAACATAATATGTTAGCTCATTTACACTGTCGATAGCCCTGGATACCAAAGAAAACCCGGGCACGCAAACATTACCCGCGCTTCCAAAACCACTTGCCGCCACCCCATTCCAGAACCAGCAAGCCCAACGCCATCACAGCCCCTCACTCGGTACAAGGGTACAAAGGTACAACGATAGAGGATCCAGAATAAATCCCATATTTTAGAACCCTGATAATTATAGTACACCACCACACCCAGCACACTATCGCTACCAATTAGAGAGAAAGGAAAAGAAGGAAGAAAAGAAAGGGCAAGATTCAACAGCAACATGTGAAACAAAACAACACTGTATGTAACTTCAAAGGACTTGGGGGAAAACATAACACCGATTTACAGGGAGACGAGAAAAAACTTTCAACCAGCCAGCCAAGCACACCAAGCAAACCGAGCCCTTGAGACCGTAATTTTTCAGAAAAAGGAAAGGAAAAAAAGGAAAAAAAATCCACAGCCTTCACCAGCCCCTTAGTTCGCGCCTTCTCGATTTTCGGTTTCCTAGCTCATTCTTTCAATTGGTAACGAAAATCACATTCCCCCCATTTTCCCGTACTGCAAATTGTACTGGCTGGGGGTTCCTGGTTGGCCGTTTTGCTGCTGTTGCTGCTGGCTAGGGGTGGTATCGCCTGGGGTGCCCGTGCTCTGGCCATTTCGGTCGGTTGTAGGGGTCGATGGCACGGGAACGCCATTGTTGTAAACTACGGTCCCGACCCCGTTGATATTTGGTGGAGAAATGCCCGCCCCATTAAGACCCCACACCTGTCCACTGCGGGTGAATGTCAATGTACGGTACTGACCCATACAAGCATACAGATCATATAACATACAGGTACTTGGCATCATCAATTTTCCCCTCAAAAAACTTTTCCCGCATCTCAAAAAAGATATTCCCAGTTAAAAGGCTGTCACTGCCGGCCTGGTGCTGCGGTCCGACCCGCGAAACACCCATCTCTTCCGCAATGTCTTGCAACCCACCTTTGAGAGTGCGGCAACTCTTCATAAGAAATTTGATGTCGTATAGCGCTGGGAAGTACTTGCTCAGAAGGTTACGAAATTCACTCTCCTCCTTAGGGAGAGGGAGGCAACTCATGATCTTAACAAGGTAGCCAAAATCGTAACCGGAATGGAAAGAGATCCACTTGACATCGTCGTACATGACTAACCCGGAGCTAATAAGGAGATTGCCGAATTGATACACGTCAATTCCGTGCTCCGCGTGTTTGGAAAAGTCGATACCAGATTTAGTTAGAAGGTCGATAGATTCCTGTGCATACATGTCGTCATTAAGGGAGAACTTGAAGTTGAATTGCCAGGTGCAAACTGATCCGTCGATCTTAGCAAGGTTCCCATTCTCATCGGCCAGGGTGATGCCCAGTTGGATAATCTTTAGCATGTCTACGTTGCAACGGAGGGTCTGGTAATGGTAATCGGCCTTCGATTTAAAGTTTCCAATAGGACGTGCAACAATTCCGGGGAATTCAGTATCCTAACCTCCCCGTCAGCAAGCACCTCCCCCATCGCCTAAGGTTCCCAAGAAAAGGCAAGGCTATAACCAACCATAGCAACATACTGGTATGTCTCGACCAAATCCCGCAGCACAGCCATCTCCTTATCCAAATCCTGAGCCCAGACATCCCTGATCATGGAACGCTCCGGCGGTGTAGTCACTGGACCCCTCACATCAATGGCCATTCCACCGCTAGGTCCAACACCAACCCCCGCTCTCCCTCCCACGCCACCCAATCCTGCAGCGCTCACCCCTCCGCTACTGCGTCCAATAAGTCCGATGATAGTCTGCTGCTGCTGCTGTATATGCGCAGCCTGAGCCTGCTGCTGCTGGTGCTGTTGCTGCTGCTGTTGTTGAGCTCTTACAACGGCGGCGGCAGTTTGTTGCTGGGCGCTATTGAATAAGAGATGCGGAGGCTGACCAAACCTGGTGAAGATAGAACAGTCAGATATTGCGGTGATCTTCGCTCTCATCGCTGTAGAACACAAGAGAGACACTTAAGGCCGGGTGAATAATAGTGATGAATTCCTCCTCCGGAACAACCGAATGAAAGAGCGAGAGAAAGCAGGGACCAACCTATCCCCACCCAGCAACGGATTATGACCTACATGGCCACCCCCACCCCCGCCAGCACCCATCGGATGCCCGCCCTGTTGTTGTGGTGCGAACTGCTGAGGTGGACCATGGAGCGTGGGAGTGTAGAGATTCGACCGCGTAGGAGGCATTGTGATTCTTCAATTTTTTTTTTCTTTTTAAATTTTTTTTTAAATTTTTTTATGGATTTATCGTTTCCGCGATTCTCCTCTCCCCCTTGTGTTCGTAGTAGACGAGATGTGCACGGACAAATGTTGCGATAGGGGATATGCCCAGCGGGAGTGGTGGTAATTCTAAGGAAAAAAGAAGGCCGGGGGTTAAGTGAGAGAAGGACGGAAGATGGAAGGAAGGAAGGAAGGAAGGAAGGGGTAAGGGAAACCAGGTCAGTGAGAAGAGTAGAATTTAAAAGCGGAAAGGAAAAAAAGGGTTATGAAGAGGAGTTGGGGTACATGGTCCCGTCTAGGTCATCTGGAGGGGGAGTTGGGTGGAGGGGAGGGGGGTGATGAGGGTCGCGAACAGAACGTGAGGTTTTCGTTAGAGTGTTCGGAGGAGGCAGACGATGCAGCGGATAGGACGTGGGTAGGGAGCGACAGGTTTGGTTGGTTGGCTGACCGTGGGTTAGGAGAGATGCAGGTGGAGGAAGGAATGGGGTCTCGCGCAGTCTCCTGCCTCTCTGTACTGTACTCAACTAACTGTAACTCTCATCCTGCCCGCACATATACTCAGTCAGTGCTGTATAGTACACAGACAGTACTGTACAGGTAGACGGCATCCGCAAAAAGCGTGACCCACCCTGAAAGACGGCAAATCCCAACGCATTTGGTACCTTTAAGCTTAAGCGAGAAACCCTCCTGACTAAGCCAAATCGAAACCCTCAAACCCTTCATCATCGTCACCAAACTTTCGCCCATACCCACGCCGAATCAACGACCTATCATACCCTTAGTCAACTTCGCACCACGTACAATAACACCGTCGAACCACCACCACCACCACCACCACCACCACCACCACCACCACCACCGCCGCCCCCTACTATCGCCTCACCTCAGAACACACATAGCACCAACCCTAGAATACAAACCAGCCATGCCCCCCCAGTCCCGCACAATCCCGGACGTAAACCACACAGTCCTATCCCGCTACCTCCCCCGACTGCAAAAGATCCTCTCCTTAGCCTCTTACGCCGTACTCTACACCTACAACCACGAATCCGGGATATGGCAAAAGTCCAACACGGAGGGTTCGCTCTTCATCTGCTCCCTCTCGCCTACCCAGCCCCAGCAACAGGAAGAATACACGATAATCTTGCTGAACCGCCGGGGTTTGCAAAACTTCATCTACGCCCTCACCGATCCGGGGAACATCGAGTACGCCGAGGGCGGGGACTATGTTATGCTCCAAGGCGAGGAGGAGAAGATTGTTTATGGGATATGGGTTTACGCTCAGCCCGGCACGTCCTCCGAGGGGGATAGGACCAAGGTTGCGGAGTGGGTGAAGGACTGTGCCGGGAGGTATGCTGAGGGGATGGATAAGATTGGGAAGGGACAGGAACGGCACCAGCAGCCAGCGGTAGGGGGAGGTTTAGATCCAGCACCCGGCAGGAGTATTTCTTTGACAGAGCTATTCCAAAGCAGCTCGCCCGCCACTGCTACCGTACCGCAACCTCAGCAGCGCCATCACCATCAGCACTCGACGCAAACACATATCCCCTCGCAAGACCAGCAAGGGGCATATTTCCATCACCAACCACCACCGCCTCCTCCTCCCCCCCAATTGCAGGAAGCCACCGGCGGTGATTCGCTAATGAGGCTATTCGGGAACGCTAGTGGTAGATATACTAGTAGAACAACTACACCGGGGCATTAGTAGCTGGATTCTGGCTTTATCGTTTTTTTTGTTTTTTTACCCCCCATTTACGGTTGCTCGTTAGGACATGTTGCCGCCTGGTATGATACATGACATGTCTCCGGCGTTGTCTTGCGGCGTTAAGGCTTCATTTTATCTTACCATCACCACTTCTGGTATTACGGTATTTTAGCATTGTTTGTTGTTTTGCAGGCACGGTTACGCACGGGGACTACCAGGCACAGTAAAGATATCCACACTATCAAGAATTCATATAATCAAAACACGAGCTAGTAAATGTACAGTACCATTATATGGCTTAGGAAAGACCCAAGACCAGACTAGCAATTTCCTCCTCTTGCAAAATACATCAAGCATCAAGCCAGTAAAACCGATCAATCAATCAATTAATCAGAAGGTATATGACCAACTACCGGGACCGATTCCAAAGAAACGAATTGAAACTAGATGAACGCCTGGGTCCCCCACTTCAACGTCTTCCCCCCCCCCCCTCTTGCCCACCTTTCATCCTCCTCCAAAAACCATATCGCACAGAAAGTGTATCAAGGTGGAAAATGAAAAATCTGTGTCCATCTCAAGGAATCTCGGAAAGAAGGAAGGAACCCTACCAAAATGTTCCCACAGCGAATTAGCAAATAATAAGAATAAGAATAATAATAAGAATAATAATAATCATGCGCCGCGTTCACGATAGGACGATATGGCACAGTGTGATTCTAACCTCAACAGAAGCTAAAGTGGAAGCAAAAGAAAAGTAAAACTAGAAAGTGGTAGTATAAGCGGAAGTGGAAGAATATAGCCAGAGAAGTAGGTGAATAGAGAAAAGAGATATGACATCGTCCGACAATCCCCCTTCCTCCCCGGTTCAGACAACGCTTACGAATGGAATACCATCGCTTTGCCCCCCCCCCCAGCCCACCATTCGTATAATGCACCGCGCGACACCAACGTCACGCTTCACGCCCAGCTAATGATTGAGAAAATAGGACATTGCTCTTTAATCTGTATCGTGCCCGGTACAAAGAAAAGGAAGATGAAAATAAAATTGGAAATGAAAAAGGTATTGAACCATAACGCGAAAAGAAAGAAAAAAGTGAGAGAAACACACAAAACAGAGCAAGGAGCATCCAACGTTTCTAGATGACCATGGATAACTTGTGCATAAGACATTTATCATTTCCGTAGCCGGCTCAAACCAAAGCCCGCTTTTATCCCCCACGTTTTATCCATTCGCTCCGTTTGGAAACTGTACACTGGCACTAACCCCCGGGACTACTTGAGCTCCAAACCGCCTATTTGCCGTTCTTGAAAGACAAGAGGGCTGCAAGACTGGCCAACGGACATCCTTTTCTCAAGAATTCGTGTTTGAGTAGTTCTTCCGCTGTAGCCCTATGCTTAACATCGACGCAGAGACACACCGCTAAGAAATTTTTGAGTTCCTTGCTCAATTTCTCAGGCTTCTTAAGCGTAGGGGTTCCATGGGTAGCGATGAGGTAAAGAGCCTTCAAAGGTTCCTCATTAAGGTAAGGAGGCTCAGATTCGATCATTTCAATAGCCATAATTCCGAGGGACCAGATATCAACTTTAGCATCATACTCCTTTTGTTTAACAACCTCAGGTGCCATCCAGTACGGAGTTCCAACCATTGTCGCACGCTTCGACTTCTGCTCGGTTAACTTAGCGCAGAACCCGAAATCAGCTGTAATTAAGTTAGACTTGCAACCAAGAGCATATGCCGAAATGGCAGAAAGACCGATAGAAGACGGAAGATCCACCACTGATAACCCATGCCACCAAAGCCGGCCAAAGGGAGGATAGTAAAACTTACTAATTTTAACGTGTCCAGTGCCGTCAAGAAGGACATTGTCACTCTTAATATCTCTGTGAATAATGTTCTGGGTATGCAAATGCTCCAAGCCTTTGCAGGTCTATTTTTCGCCAACCTTAGCACGTGACATTATTGAAACAATTTACTCGTCTCTAAGAAACTCACTTCAAAGCAAATTGTAGCAATCTGATCCTCTTCCAAGCTGTTGTTGTCAATAACATCGGTTAAGGCGCCGCCTTCCATGTACTCCATAACAACCCACAGCTCGCTCGGGCCCTTCAAGAAAGCATCCAAAAAGTTGACAATATTAGGATGCTGGCTCTCCTTCATCACGAGAATCTCGTTGACAATAAGCTCTTTCCTTGGTTGGTGTGCCAAATCCATCTGCTTGATTGCGACCCGGTTTGCTACGCCCTTACCAGAGCTTGCCAGCATAGACATAGACATTGAGGAGGACGCCGTGCCGTTGACCTTGGCAACATAGACGGATCCCGAAGCTCCTTGTCCGACCTTCTTGATTTTGGTGTAGAGCTGATTCGGATCTGTAGGGGAGACCACAGAGCGTAACTTATCCATCACTTGGGCCTCGGTCATGTTGGAGATACGTCTCTGGTTTTCCTTGCGTTCCTGTTTCATAACAGCCTCTTTGGCCGGGGCTGCTTTAGTGGGAACATTAAGAGGCTTGACAGTAGGGGTTGCAGGTGCCGGAATACGAGAAGTCTGAACTTGAGCCTGCGACGGTTGCTTAACAGTGCTAGCGGGCGCCCTCCCCTGCTGTTGCTGTGCCAGCTGTTGTTGTCGGGTTCCGGAAGCAGGAGATGGCTCCCTTGATCTCTGCTGGCTCGACTGGGAGGGCGCGCGCAAACTTGTCTGTTGCTGGGATGATTGCTGGCTCCGTTGGCTTGGTGATGGTCTGGGGAGAGTAGAAGAGGGTGCGGAGGGTGCAGGGCGACGGGGATCCATATCACGAAGGCTAGGTGCAGCCTTCTGAGGGGTTTTGGTCGATGTTTTAGGGGCCATAGGATTATACCTTCCCTGAGAAGAGAGCCCACCTCCGCCACCACCACCACCACCACCACCCATCATGATGGGTGTGTGTGCGGTGCTACTCTTTTGGGGATAGTCATTACCATCAAGGTCACCATGTCGTTCTTGTTGACGTTGGGAATTGAAGAGCTCCTCCTCACGAAGACGCTCTTCTCGATCCCTCTCACGTCTCTCTTGCTCTTTCTCCAGCTCGCGCTGCCTTCTATCTCTCTCCTGTCTCTCACGTTGGGCCTGCTGCTCCCTTCTATCCCTTTCGTATTCTTGCTCACGGTAAGCGTCCCTCTCGCGCTCCCTTTCCCATTGCTCTCGATCCCGGGTATCCTGGCGAGCGGGGCCTGGCTGAGGGCTTCCGAGGTTCATTTGCGCCATCTGTCTCTGTTGCGCAGCAACCGCTGGAGCCGAAGCAGGTCCCATACCATAAGCATTCTGGTTATTCAAACCACGCTGACCCTCGGTATAAAACTCCAACACCTCGATAACAGCCTGGGGGTTCTTCTGGTAATCCTCCTTCGTGATAGCACTGGAGTTCAAGAGCTTGCTCCACTCCTCGGGAAGTCCCGTAAATCCACCGCTGACCGGATCGAACCCGACATGGACCTTGTGAGTAAAGTTTGTAGGATTACTAACCCCGCCCATAGAAGGACATCTAGAGTAAACGTCTTCGACCCAATCATACAGCTCTTGTTCAGATTTGACAGAGACAAATACTGTTCTCCGAGGAGCGTCTGAAGCCATCGAGTTGGCACCGTTCTGAGAAGAGGCCATTCTGACAACCTCAAAGCAGTAAGGTTTCAAGTCGGTGCGATTAACCGACACGATATCCCTAAGCGAAACAGATAATGTGGGCGAAGAGGATGTTTCGGTCTTGAGAAAGTCCAAAGAAAGCTCGCGCAAAATAATGTACTTTTTGGCCCAATACAACGACTTGAGCCCATCCTCCTTGATGGTCGCCCAACCCTCCCGGATCCGTCTGTCTTGGGAAAATGGCGAACCACCGCCGCCTCCGCCGTTCATGATGCCGGTTGAATTTGACGTTAAACTAATGGTAGAACCGAAAGGTGAAGGAGAAACAATTGTCGAGGAGGTAAGAGTGGATGAGGTGGAGTGGTGTGGATGATGGTTGTTCTGGTTAGAGTTTACACTTAGCGGTGAACGAGCTCCTGGAGGTCTTGGGGCTGGCCCTGGGTTAAGAAAAGAATTATCGCTGTAGAAGGAGGACATATTCCCGGAAGTGATTGATGAGATGAAAACGTACGATCCCGCAATCAGTTGATCAAAAAAAAAAAAGAAAAAGAAAAAGAAAAGCGCAGAAAGTCTCCCCCCTAAAAAAAAACGAAGAGTCAGTGCCAGTGATCGATAATTCCCCGCTCCCAATACTGGTTGTGAAAGCCCTCAGTCCCCCACAGAGACTAGGCTACCAAGAAGCCCCTTAAACGACTCGAGCGGAATAGCAAAAACTAGCAATGTAGCAGGTAACAAAGATCTCCTTGTTCCACTTTCCTCTTCTCCCCTTCTTTCCCAGCCGTTGGGAGGAAGAAAGAGAAAAAAGACTTGAGGTGGAAGGCTGTCTAGCTGTCAATATTGCACCAAAGACCTGAAGCAGTGAGTGGTGGCCGGCAGAGGGAACTGGTTGGCAGGAGATGGAGGGTTCGGGGTATGGGGTATGGGGTATGGGGTATGGGGATAGAGGAGGAGGGGAAGGAGGAGGAGGAGAGTTACCGAAGCTGGCTGCGAGTTCGACCAAGCGGGCAGGTTACATGAAGGAATGGGCAAGGAAAGGAGTCAATGGGCGGCTTGGAGATGTTGAATAGGAATAAGAGGTTTTCTAAATAGTTCCAGTTTGTTAGAACGAGAGGTTCGAGTAGCATAAGGGGTAAGTAGGACAGACTCCGGGAAGGGCTCGAAGCTAAGGGATATTGTGTACCCGTCGATTTGGTTGCAGGGCGTTGGTTGTTATTCTACTACGGCCTCCCTCTCTCTCGGCTACTAAGGTTGGTGGAGCCGTGGAGGTGCTTGGTGTGGTTGAGGTGTGGAGTTGGTCGCTGCAGGAAAAGATGCAGCAGACAAAGCGGGTGAGAGGGGTGGAAGAGGGAAAGAAGGGGGTAGCAGCCAGAAGCAAAGGAAAAGGGTACTGGCAGAAGCAATACGGTAATGGCGGCGAGCCAGCATCCACCACCCAAGACCCCTACAGCAGTATCACAAAGCCAACACCAATACTCGAGTACTCGTACATACACTCAGGCCCTCGTCTACCCGCTCCCATGAATGAAAAGGTCGATCAATAACCATTCCACTCGTGCTACAGCTAATTAATGGTGTCCAAACTGACACGAAGAGCCCAAGATTCCCATTGTAGCGAGATGAGCACATACCGTACTGCATCATACAAGGCTCGATCGATGAGAGAAGCCCCTTCAAGCCCACGTCCGATGCGATCAAACAAACAGGGTACGGTGCTCCACGTTATTTCACCCTCTCATCTCTGGGGCGAGTACCGATACCGTACAGTACGAGTACTCGAGTAGAAGCATCGCCAACGGTGTTAACTCTCCTTTCTCCGAGGCCACTGGATCATTTCCAATAGCATATTCGAGAAATGCACGAGTAAGCCCTGCCGGATACTCTGCTGTGAATGATATGCGCCGCTCCACGCTTCTCACTCGCTCCCTCACCAACCCTCAAAGACCCACCAGTTCTAAAGTTGATTGACCCCAACATGCTGCAACCTATCATCCCTTTCCCACCTAACCAGAGCCACTCGTAAATGCACTTTCCCACTATCCCGCAAGCATTTTCAACCCTTCCTCGCGCCATAGTCTCCGATCACTTCCTACCCTCCTCCACGCCTCTCTATCCCGTGCACACACGGTCCGAAAATAGCGGTAACCTCGCCATCCCAGAGGGAGTACGCGGCTAAGCAGTTAAATATACATGCCGTTTCCCAAATTCTCAATAGGCCGGAAGAGCAAAATGTCACGACTCACCTATTCGCCCCCGCTCCCTCCCGAGAAAGGACTGCCTACTATACGAGACCCTGCACGAACGAACTGTGCCCAGGGCAAAGGCGGGGGAGCTGTCTCAGGTTTACCCTTCAGAAATTTCCCTTTCGCAGAGATGAGAAAAACAGGAGCAAGCGCCAAGACTTCCCCACCATCTCTACTTCCAACGGTGCGAAGACAGTGCTTGCACAGCACGAGGGTTAGGCATCAGAGAGTGGCACGGAGCAGGGGTGTTGATGCTGATTTTGGTCGGAATTGGTGGCACCTTACTCGTAGAGTATGATACGAGTGCTACCATCTTTGTCTGCACTAGAGCCTCAAAAAGGTTATTTTTCTTTATTTGATATCGTAGATGTACTTGCGCGGGTACCGTACTGGATTAGGGGCCAGGTAATTAGTCTACGAGTCTCCTCGTCCACTGTATTTGTCCGGGGTCGAGGTGGGCAAGAGGAAGTCGAAATCTCCACGGGGCCAAGACCACACCGTACTTGTTATTCCACCCTTGACCCTTGTACTAGACCCTGTGTTTGAATACGGCACTGTACCGTACTGTACAAGTACTCGTACACTAACCCTGTGTGCTTGCTTGGAAATGCCTTTGCTGGTAGAGGAGCTGTTTCGTGCTTTTTGGAATTTGGATACACCCCGGCTGATCGACAGGCCGTCCGCCCTTTTTCACCCGGTCTCGGGGCAAGGCAGGTACCTGTGGCGGTAGTAGGATGTGAAGAATGCACTATTTTTCTTTGGCCATGACCGCTGCAGCACCAGTGCTTGAGTAGACTGCATAACACAACGGTGTGCTTTGCTGAGACTTAGGCTTTGGTGGGTGAATCCTCTTTGCCTTATGTTACGGTATAGTACGTTACTTGCCGGTGCCATATTCTAGAAGTCAAGTCAAGTCTGGAGAGATGCATTCCAGCCCACGCCTTGTTCCGGGATGGTCTGGCTTGCACCGGTCGTGAAGGTGACCCGACGTCCGAAGGTGGATGGAGGCCGGGATCCTCAAGCGCCGTAGTCGTACAGTACTCCGTACAGACCTGTGGGCTCGTCGAGCCTAGTCCTCATGATTCGTCGCTCCGTTCCTACGTTTGAAAACTCCACCCTTACCGCTGGCTACCAGCGATCTGCGCTTCTCGCTTCCTGAAGAAGACTGCTGACTAATATAACGGTATGGAATGCTGTGATATGGATGTCGGTGCAAGATGATACTTATGATAATACGATATCATATCGTGCTCGTACCCTCGTACCGGTACTGTATTGGAGTAAAGCCCTGGATCATAGATTTAATACCGTAGCAACCCTACCACTCTTCCCCCCCACCCAGTGCGACCCCAAATCAACAACTCTTCAACTCTGATCACAGCAACCTTCGTGGTGCTCGAGCGCCGCTACTGTAGCGGTACTTCTTGGAGGGGCACGGTATTCTATCCGGAACTGCGGCCTCCAGATATCAAATCCTCTTCTCATTCCTCCCATCCCCACCCGTCGTATTCAACCAAAATCGAGCCAAACCAAACCCACCAACCGCTCACTCGCAAACGCCCAAACCTCAAACCGCTTACCGGTAACTTATCACGTAGCTTCCCCCCCCCCCCTCCTCCCCACCGATATGGTATTTTTAGCTCGAGATCTCCCTTCGAAAGATCTACACTGCTGGAGCCACTCGAACCCAACCCCACCTGCACCATAGACACATCACAAAACCCCAAAAGGTGAGAATCGGGCCACTTCCAGCGCCTACCGTAACTCAAATTTCTCATCCATCCATCCACCCGCCATCTAGCTACGGGGCTATGGTGAGCTGTAGATTGACCGACGAATGAAACGAAATATGGTGGATGCCATCCCTTCGAAACATGGAGGAGGCCCAACGCGACCTGCTACTGTGGTTTGATTGAACCGAAAGTCATCCTGGCTCGATCCCCTTCTCTAAATTGGTGCGGTAGGAGGCCGTTTAAGCAACTGAGAGAGTTGCACACGGCACCCTGCCTCAAGGCACTACCAATATCAGGGGCGTGGAGCGGGTAAGCAACGGGAGGCTAATCTAGCGGTTCTTGCTTCTACGGATGCGGGGGAGATTGTTGTGCCGTGCTGGCATCTATCGTGGGATATGGCTTGTTAGCTACGGCAGGTATTGCACCGTGCAGCACGGCTGTGGGGCCCCGGGGTTATTATTCTTGTGTTCGGGCTTCGGGTTCTTGCATAATGTCGGACTTTACATTATCATCCTTTTTTTGCGCACACTGGCCGAGGGAGTGCCCTTTACCGCTGCTAAGGTCTGGGGGATATGTCACCCGAACAGGCCCTGAGAGGAGAGGGCGGATTTGATACCGCTCTGATACTGTACTACGGCCATGGCCGATCAAGTACAAGGATATCGCATCCTACGGTGCCGAATTACAAGGAGGACGCCAACTGGTTGCGCTATTTTACAGGTCCGTGGTAGCATTGCATGCCGGTTTTGAAGGAAGAAGGGGGAAAAGGGGAAAGAATGGGAGAAAGAGCTTTTGTTTACACGGTGTTTGTGGTTATTGGGATCCGCCTTCTATCTCACCAATCCCGGCAGTAATACCTCTGCCGGAATCTAATCAACGTCCATCTCCGGCCTCGCAGCACCCTCCGTCACCCCATCCTCATCCTGACCCTTCTTAGCGTTCGCCTCCCGAACTGCCGCCGCCCTCGCCGCAAGCTTTGCCTGCCTCCTCGAAACCGGTAATTCAGAGGCATCTACCGTACACATCCCACCCGATTAGACTCCTCACTCCCTGCTTTTCACATTCGATTCCGGAACGCACCTCTCATAACGACCTCCCCAGCCTTGCTCGCCCTCTCCAACTCCTTCTCCATCTCGGCCCTCCCCTTTGCGTAACTCTTGTTCCGATCCTTCTTGCGCTGGGCTTTACTCGCGACGGTTTTCCCGCGGGACACTCCGAGGCCGGAGGACTTGAGCACCGGGTCTAGCGGACTTGTGCGCGTTGCGGCGATGCGGAATTTTCCGGAGGATGAGGGACGCGAGCGGGCATGGGCTTTGTAGCGGGAGGGGAGGTTGGGGTTGTTTCGGGATGGCATTGTAGATTGATTAGGATTTTTGGCGGTGGTGGTATTCAGTAGAGGCGAGAGGAAAACTGGGCTTGGTCTGCGGTGGATGGCTGGTGGGACGTGTGGCTACCAGTAGTTGTGGAGCCGGACGTGGCTTGTCGATGGTTAGCGGGGGTGGAGGTGTTGCAGAGTTCCCAGGTATGATTGGTTACATGGATTTAGGTACGACACCGATAGGTTGAACCCCTGGAGCGAGTGACAGTGCATGATTACATACAAAGCTGAGTACTTCTGCTTGCGGGAATAACTTCGACGTACCCTACCTGGACTAGAGCATGGTGTAGGATCATAGGTTCAAGCCAAACTCGAGGCTCCATATCATCAAAGTATCTTAGCTACCTATGCTCGCATTTCCATCCAATGCAGACTTTGACACAAATAGTACCATACGGTACCACCAAGCCAAGTTTCAGTAAGCCCCCGTGCTGAGATAAGCGTAAACAAGCACTGGCCCACCTCCTGTCCTACCGAATCCGGGCGTTCCAAATTACCGCTACAGGGTGTTTGTTTCACGGCAACGTCGTGATCACTACCTTATCGCTGACAATCTTGGTCGAGCATGGAAGGGTGCGGAACATAGTGCTTGGGCTTGGCGGGCAATGGTTCTGTTTCAAAACATATAAAAAGGCTAAAACCCGGTGTGACGTGTACAGTGCTGTACGACAGACGGACGGATCTTGTTTGAGGTACATACTGTACGATCCGCGGACAGGGTTCCAGGAGAAAGCTGCCAGAGCGAAATGCTAAGGTATCGTGACCCCCTCATCGATCTTCCCGTCAAAGGCCCTCCTCAGAAAGCGAAGTGAATGTTCGATAACCCTCTCCAACGTCTTACCCTCGGTCAAAGGGGCGAAGTGGCCACCCTCAACTGTTACAAACTCCCGTAAAATTTCGCCCCCCGCCTCCGCCGCCTCAAAGGCCCTCCAGTGCTCCCCGCATCCGAGGATAACCTCATCCACAATCATCAACAAACTCGTCGGGGCCAGAACCTTCAGGTCCTCCATCACATTACACCTCCTCATCTTCAAAAGGCTCTGCATTGTGACTTCGTTCCTCCATTCCTCACCCCTGGCTAACCCTGCTTTCTGCATCCCCAGGTAAAATTCCCCCGAATCCTGCGTTGGGAAAAGCACATTATCGCCAGTTTCTGCGGTTTTGCAGAGGGGGAGGTATCCCACTTCCCCACCACCCGTGCGACGACGTTCCCTATCCTCCCAGATAAGTGCGTCGGAGGAGGCTCTGTCCGGCACTAGTATTCCCACTAGCCAGGAGCCGCGGATGAAGCCGTTGATCGATATGACGGCTTTGATGCGCCGGTCCAGAGAAGCGGCTTTTACGGCGTGGGCTCCTGAGTAGCTGAACCCTATTATCCAGATTTTGTCTGGGTTCACGCTTGCGAAGGAAAGTAGGTGACCGACGGCGTCATGGACGTCTGAGGATTGCAGTTCGGGATCTATGTCATGGCGGGGTGTGCCCGAAGATGTGCCGAAGCAGCGGTGGTCGTAGAGGAGAGAGGCAATGCCCGAGGATTAGAGGGCTGTGGAGATTTCCGGGAGGCACCAGGATTTTAGGCAGGCGAACTAGTCTTGGGGTTAGTAGGAGGAGTGGAGCAACGGGGACGGGAGGACGAGAGGGCGAGTTACGCCGTGAGAAATGACTACTGCCGGGGCGTTTTCTCCAGCTGGGTAGAACCACCCGCTTAACATCGTTCCGTCAAGGGTTTTGAACTCGACATCGTGACGTATACTGTAGGTTCAATCGTTGTTGCAGTACTCGCCATCAGACCTGCTCAAGGTGAGGGAATTAATTCACAGTGGTAGAGGCGGGGATCCAGCAACCTCTTATACCCCGTCTCACGCATCGCACATTGAATTTGACGCTCGTCCGTTATCCATGGGCAGACGTAAAGAACACTTTGTATGCGCCGTCTATTGAGCCATTCCCCCCTGAGCAGCGTATGGTTTCTTCATGAAATACCGCACTTCCAGCTAGGAAGGGGACGGACCCTGTTACCGTCTCGCATATGTGCTATTCGCCGTTTAGGGTGGGTGGAGAATTGAACAGAGGGGGGCGGCGAACAATTCCGGGATCGGTGACAAAAGATCTAGTGGCAGGTATTGGATTCGGTTTCCTCCCTGTCCATTGTCCTCCCCATGATACTATTTTATTCGGAAGGCAGTCCTGAAGCCAATGAACGGCGGAGCCAGGTTGCCCCGGCCATCGGCATGGGAAAAATTGTTATGATACCGTTACCGTAACTTTTGCCTGGCCGTATTATATTATAATTTAGCTTCTCCCACTCCGTGTTTGAGCTTTCCCCTGTTGGCGACCTGTGGTAGTGGTGGCGCTGGGGATAATACCTCGACCTTCAACCTAACCAAGCGCAGTGCTTACATTCCCTGGATGATTCATCTATTCTGGCATCGCATTTTGGGGCATGGCGGGTTTGGCTGGTATGGCGGAACCTGAGCTACACCCTGCAGCGTTCACATACAGAGTCTGTTTCTCCGAGAATTCCTCAGCGAGCGGAGTTCTGTGAGGCTACGGAACGTAGTAAGGTTCCTTCTGTGTACTTTCTAGCTCACTGGGCGTGCTTGTGTTACACAGTGTGATACCGTAGGAGCAGAAGATGCCCCATATTCGGCAACCGTAGTATCATACCCGGCAATGCGATACTGTAGAGTAAGAGAGGTTAGAGTTCACGGTCACTATATCTTCCCTTAGTCGCGGTATCATATATATATATATATATATATATTTTCTGAATCAGGTTCATTCTATGATAGAACGTCACGAACAGTTACCGTATCTGAACCTGGAGCCCATTATCTCCGATTCTGGTAGAATAAGTCGTGGGTTTCGGGAAACAAGCCTAAAAGGGCCCAGGCGCGGTGTTTTTGTATGCGATAACTCAAAATGGGTGACAATTGGTATGCGGACCTCTACGGGTACCCGCGCTGGTGAGCTCGATTATCCTTTGGGTAAATTCGGCCAAAAACGACTTCTTAGCTGAGGAATCTGCAGGACTCAAGTACTCTATGATATGGTATAGCGAAGCTAGTATTAAGTAAAGGTGGGTTAGGGCTAGTAATGCCTCTTTTCCTGCTCGGGTGCTCTACTACTTGTAGTATCGTACCGGCGCTCGAGTACCGTATCATACCGGTACAGTGCCGTACTGGTGTAGAAGTCTCTCGGTTGGCTTCCGGGATTGGATGGTGTGTTCGGGCGAGCCGGCGTCTGTGGAAATGATATACCGTGACCTTACGATATACTGTAGGAGTCTAACGCGGCGATCAACGTAGAAGCAGAAGAGGTGAACCAGAACCCGATTTATATAAAAGGGGAATGTTGTTTTATTGCTTGTTGATATGGGGTGTCAGTCCTCGGCCCATAAGCCTACACCTTGGCACGGTATCATATGATACGACAAACAAAAGACACTTCCGAGTGATTTCAAGAAAACCCGGTATGAAATATCAATCTCAAAGGATTGGCTGATATAAGGCGATTCCCGCATGACTTTATCAGCCTCGGCGAAGTTGGAGGGTCGGGATTGAGAATTGGTCATTCCCACCATTACCCCCCCTTTCCATCCCTGTTTGTTTCTTCTTCTACGGAGCTGGACTGAACTCCTTCCTTAAGGCACCGTCCTTGAGACGACCCACCGGCTACACAGGACCAGCCTTTACACGATATGCCTAAAACATGTCGACTACCGTACTCGTATCAATGCTTAAGAAGCACTGCCGGGGAATTTCGGTCCTCAAACCTGCCCGGATCTCGAACTAGACTATTAGTTCTATATTGAGTCCTCTCTTCTATAGAGCGCTCTTTTCTGACCACCTTCGAGAAGGAGCAGGAAGAATGGGAGGAACAAAAGCGAGCGAGAAGGGTGAGAGGGGTGCGCGACGGCCCGATATAAACTGCTCCTGCACACTCTCGCCCTTATTGGACATAACGTCAACGTGCCGTATATGTCGACCGGTTTGAAATCGCGTTTCCAAATCGGGAGATTTTGATGTGCCGAATTCGAATCGTGATTTGAAACCATAACGTCATTTGGAAGATGATTTGCTTTGGGCTTTCGGGGCCCATTTGGGATGGTTAGGGGTGGGGCGGGCGGGCGGTGCTTCATTTAGTGATTTGGCGGTGCAGTGGATTTGGGAATTTATAACATGCGGTTTAAAAATCGCCCAGATGTTACTATACTGGTAGAGTTCATGGAAGGACGATTGGATGTCACTTGCTCTGGGCCTTTGGTGATTTACTGAGAAGTTTCTCGGGACATGTCTTTACTTTCTTGTCGCCGGAGGGTGCAGAAAGAGAGAGGTGTGTGGCGGTCTATGGAAAGATCGCAATTCTTCGATTCTGTTTTACATATACTCCCGCCTTTGCCGCTGGTTTAGAGAGAGGGTGTGTGTGGGTGCAGAGACGAGCATGACCACGAAGTTTCTGGCCCATATCTTAACTGTCTCACATTGATACTACCAAAGTCCAGGGCTATTCCTCCCACTGCGCCGCCGCGCGGTGTGTTGGCCACCCCACGGGTGTGACGCCAAATACCTTTTTCAAATTATGACCGACTCGTGCCAAACACCAGGAGCTGTCCTTAGCCTTCGTTAGTTTCTTTGTGAAGTTTGATGAATCACGAAATATCACTCGACTCATCACAAGCACACTCGGCTTGTTGGGATCGGACGTATTGACCAGTTTTGACTGGGTGTTAGAGTAGCTTGTTCCTAAAATGGGGGGTTTTTTTCTTTCTTCTTTGGCTAGCGATAGCTCCCCCCAAATTGCCATTTTTTTTTCTTTTCATCTATAGATCAATAGCTCTTGAGATCAACTCCATTCTCTATCAAGATGTCTATTAGGGGTCCAAGAATTCGGCCCTTGAAAGTCCACAAGATTGCTAAGATGGAGTACTTATGTTCCTAGATACTGCTCCTCCGCAATAATTTGTCGCGGGAAATCACTCACACCAATATACAGTGCACAGAGTTCCACCGAACACACGCAACAGATAAAAGTAGCTAGAATGGCCGATGGGCAATCCACTCCCGCCCCCACCACTACCGCCCAAGATCGTTTCTACATCCTCATGAAAGAAGCGAAAGCGTGTTCCCACTCCCTAGAACTGTACTCTGGCAGGCTTACGGATGAGCTCTTAACCATCGAGGGCGAGATTGCGGATTTCACCCTGGTTTCCAGGAACCACCCTGTGCCTTGGGAGCTATTGTGTATGGCGCTTAATGAGGTTGTAGACAGACTGAAGGCTTTCGGTAAATTTATTGAGGAGAATATGAAATCAGAGGGGGCTCAAGAAGACGAGCCTGAGGCTCAGGGCTAGCGATGGGAGTTGAGAGAGACCGTCTAGACTATTTAGCTGGGAAGAATATTATTATTATCTTGCTTGTTTGACACGCGGTGCCATACGATAGAATTATTACAATAGCGTCTCCGTCGCCCCCTCATGGTAGACATGATACCTCAGATGTGTCTGTCGAAATCATGAAAAAGGATAGTTTCTTTAGAGTATCTAACAGTTTACTAGTTCTCCGTCACCAAACACTTGAACAGCGCGGAAAAATGGGCGGAAGTGAGACAACAAGTAAAATAGTGCGTTCGGGGAAAAAACCGCCCACCCGCCCACGTGATCTCCAAAACAATCCAATCAACTTACCCCGCGATAGGTGTTACCTGGGCTGTTCAAGGAGACGTTGTAGGAGTCGGCGATTGCGATTGTCTTGAGAATGGCGAAAGGGCACATGTCAGTTTCCCTAAGCCCTCCTACCACACCATTTGTATGCTTATCTCGTTCTAATCAAGATCTACATAACCCACCCCACTAGCCTCTAGACTTCTTTATCGATGTCCTTGGTCTTTTTTTTGAACCTTAGAGTGAAGGTATTTTCACTATCAAAATAGTCACTATTCTTCCGAGACAGTTCCTATCTAGGGAATCCAATTTCTTCTTTTTCCTATTCCTCTTCGCCCTCACCCTCGCCTTTCTCCAGATATTCCCTCCTCTTCCTCTCCCCCATCCCCCTCAATCTTCCCTCCTCGTCCTCTCTGCCTACGGCCCAATCAATTTTCCCTTCCCCTTTTCCTCTCTTCAACAACCCATTCCTCCTTAATCCCAATCCACCCAACCCGCCCTTTGTTCAATAGACACCCTGGTACGGTGCACAGTCGCACCCTGTTGTCGCTCTCCTGGATGCTTCGCTGTCCCAGATGAATTTCTGCGAGTTGTGAGTTTCTTTGCACCAAAACATAACCTGTTGTCACGGATAACTCGCTGTCCCGTAATGGTGGGGTCTCGCTAAGATACATGCGGTTGTGCCCATGCCAGAGGGTCTACGTGTTACACAGGGGCCAGAATTTTGGGGCTGTTGATAGTCTCTTGCCGACTGGCATATGCTGGGGGGTTCGATTCAGGAGGCTCCGGATGGACATGGAGTTGGCTTACCTCTGGGACATAGTGCCGTGAGGTGCGAAGACCGGCTTGGTGTGCATACCCTTTATATGATTAATAAAAGTTTATTGAATGTCTCGGACGGTTTCTTGGGATTTTGGCTATCGGAGACAACGGTGGTGCAACTGTATAAAACCCCACGGGATTGCACTTCGCTGAGCAATGTATGAGCATCCTACCGCGACTTGTATGAGTAGACTAAGTTACGGGCCAGGGAACTACGCCCTGCCGCAACGCTTAGGCACAGTAAGCCGGGGTCTTGA